GTTTATGTGCTCTTGTAGATGCATTTCAGAGTAGGGTAGGATGAAGATAATAACTTAATTGACCACAAGCCCATATATTGTTCAGGAATCATTTGCCAAATGAGAAAATCAGCAGTTAGACAATAAAATATTTTAAGGGTATAATTTATAAAAATAAATATAAAATGTAATTTTACCATATATATATATAGTGACTAAAATAGAGAATTAACCCTATTTTCTGATTGTGATTTGTTTGTGTTTGGCTGGATAAAGGGTAGGCAAGTAGGCACATGTTTTCCCATTATTTTGCCATAATAAAAACTTGTGAAATTATTTACTGCCATGGATTTCTGTTAATGACAAAGAATAATTTAAATATATTTTGTTTTAGCGAGGTTAATTTTGAAAAAGCACTTTCCCTGTCCCGCCCCCCAGCATTGCGTTTTATGCTATATTAAGTATACCCCATCCCCAATCCTGTTGAGATAACCAATTTTAAATCTAGTGATCAACTGATTATGTTCTTTGGTTTTTCTTAAAATAAAAATCAGAAAATTTTGTTTTCAAAGTATATTTTGACAATTCTATTTTTAAGTAGTGCTGTGTTTAACCCTTTCATTGCAGCAGACAATGTAAGATGTTATTTAAATAATCATAATAGTATGGTTTCTTATCCAGGGTAAGAAAGTTCTCTTTTCTTTTAAACAATTGTTCTTCTGCTATCAAATTTAACAGGTGTGGAATTACTAATGCCAAGAGTGCTATTGGAAAAAACTTTTTATGGAACTTAATCTGTGATCTTTGGATTGATAGTTGATGTGTCTATGAGATTTCAAATAGTGTCTGCTTTGGAGATTGGCATTGTTTTAAAGTTTTTGAGGGTCTTTAATTTAGATTTGACTAGCATGGACTACCATGACTGAAAGCTGTCAAATAAATGAAACAGGATGAAATCTGATTATTCCCGAGTGCTTTGGCTAATTTTAACTTTGTTAAGAAGCATGAACTTCTGAAAAATCAGTGAAATATTTGTGTTAGGTTAATACATAAAAATATTTTTAATGCGAAAAAATTTTTGGTGGATTAATACATATTCTTTCTTTGGCTAAAAGGACTGTGTATCATTATCTTATGTTTTAGGATTTATTTTTCATTTTTTTCTTGAATTTTTCTTATTATTTTTCAGAAAATCGAATATTAAAACCTATGACATGAGATGGAATATAGATTTAATTTGATTTGTTTTCTTGCGTTTTATGTCAGAAAGTAATGGCTAAATGGTTCTTGCTGAGTGGTGTGAAGGAGGTACCTGTGTGTTCCTCAAAATTTTCATCAGAGTGCTTGACTAAGGGGCACCAGTGAACATTTCCAATGAGATTCTTTAAACTAGGCCACATGCTGTTGACACATATGCACAGCAGCAAAACGTGAATGCTTTGTGAAATCTTAGCTCTAAAAATAATTGTCACCTGTATTTATAGCAGTGTTGTCATACTTGAGGAAAGTGATGGAGAACCTGATCCTGCTGGCAGAAAAATGCCACCTTGTTAACTGTAGCTAGAGAACTGTACTCTCAAAACAAACTCTTAAGGAGTTTGTCCAGCAGCAGCAATGTTGTCTCCTGGCTTTTGTCAGTTTGTGCATCAGGATAATGAATACTTAAGTATTAAGAGAGACTCTGCCACAGATAAACATTATGTGGCTCCTAGTTTGCTGGGTAACAGTGAAAATCTGCTAGCTATTAGGAAAGGATTGGCAATTAGCACTAATAGGGAATCAATAGTAGAGAGGCCTTTAAGTGTTGGGATAGAATTTTGGATTCTGTTGTAGGCATTCTTCTTCATTGTTCATTGTGTCAGTGCAGTTGCTTAAAGGAAACATTTTCTGATTTTCAAACATAAAAATATGGAAGAATCCAGCATTTCCTCATATGAAAGTTCTCTGAAGAACTGCCATGCCAGCTAGCTGTGCGTATGTTTGAGTGGGAGAAAAAAAGATAACAGATGACCTGGGAATTATTAAAATAGTTACACATGTAGAAAGTTGCTTTCTCTTGATAAAAATTTTTATAATGCAGATTTCAGTTGTAGTTGATGTCTTCCTTATGTGTTTGTTCAATGAAAATATATACACATAATGCTTTATTGATTGATCATTCATTCACGAACAGTAATAAGGCCTGTGTACATGACAGTATATATAGTAAGTACATCTAACATGTGTGAATATTATTCCTATAAGTCATCTAACCAATCCTGGGAAAAATAACTGCAAATACAGTAGGCAAAGTGTCAGTTTCTTTAGTAAAACTTATAATTAAGCTTTGCTTTACTTAAAAGCATGTTTTAGAAGGATAGAGATGCAGAACTGCAATTTGTGTTATTTTCCCGAACATTTATTTGGAAAACACCCGGTACTGTCTTTCCTTGGCCTGAGAAAATGTTAATGTTTGGGGATTGTATATTAAAGGGGAAATGTATCATTACATGAGGGAGAACATGAATAAAGAATCCTGTGACATTTTATAAGATAGCTGTTGGTAGTGTATAATGTTTATGAAGTTTTGCTAAAATTTACAAAACGAATGGTTATTGCAAGAGCTGATTTAAACCAGCTATTTGTGGTTATGTCTGTTGAAGAAGCTTAAACTTCAACTTTCTCCAGCCACTTAACTGTAGCACACTGACTTCAGGTCTCTTGTAAGAAAGTCTAAATGTAGGCTGTTGAATAATCCCTTTGAGGGCCCTGTACCTATTTTTATGCCTGGATATGCGTCATCAGTGGGTATTTTCTCTGGTGACTCGCTTACATCAGGTCTCCTACCATACATTCTATCAGTGAGGGACTTATGATAGATGGGAAGCATGGCTGTTGCTGAGCCTTATCTCTGACCTCAGCGAATGGACAACAGGAATTTCCAGGCTGTTAAATTCTCTGAATGCTTGAAGACAGGGGCTCACGGTGTTGATCAAGGCAGGTAGCAGAGTGATATTATTCACCAGCGATGCTGGGGGAGGGACAGGAGAAGAGAAGGGAGGAAACGGAGGGGAAGGGAGGGGGAATTCCTTTTGTGAGCAGCAGCAGTTCTGGCTCAGCCTGTTCCTTTGCCCTGCTCCGTGGCTGTGCGCACAGAGAGAGGTGCTTTTCTTAGACCTGAGCAAGTGAACAGTCAGACTCTTGCCCTGGAAACTCTACAGGCTTTGGGTTCTCTTTCACTAGTCAAGGTTTTGTTTTTAAATCAGGTAGATGGAGCCATGGGCAGCTGGAGCTTTCTGATCCAAGAAGACAGGTCTTGAATTTAAAGTGTGCCACTTCTTCATGGTGGATAGGAGAGTACTGCTGTGTTTAAGCTAGAGATGCTCGGGAATCGGGGTGGAGATGATTTGTAAAGCTAACTTGCACCTCATTTTGACATGTTTTGAGGAGCAGCGTGATGCATGGGTACGAAAGTGGAAATTTTAACTGAGTACACAATAACGTTTTCTAATTTTTCTTTTTTCCTCATGTCTTTCCTTACCTGTTTGAGGTTGCTGAGCTGCACTGAGATTCAGTCCTCAGCATTTTAGCAGCTGCATTTGCTTTGGGATAAATGTTTATCCACCAAACGTTCCCCCTGGTCCTGTGTCCTGAACTCACCTTACCTTTCTGTTCCTTTCCTGCTCTCTGCCTGGTAGTATTTTCTTTGCAAAAGTAGTTCTTGCCCTCCTGCTGGGTTAAGAGAACCAATGATCCCGATCCTGGGGAAGGGAGTGGGAAGACTGGAGGTGAGGGGAGAACAGAACATGGGAATCAATCAGTTGGCTCTGGTTTGCTAGTATTTAGAGGTTACATTTTCAGTATTATTTTACTTTCTTAAAGTGACAGGCAAAATGCTGCTTATAGGGTAATGCAATTGCATCATTGCATGCAGGTAAAATTGATATTTTGATCTTGTCTGATTAATAGAAGAGGGTTACCAGAATAACTTGCCTCTGTAATTTCCTTGCCTCCTAGGAACCAAATCATGACACATATCCAGAAGTCTAGTGCCCTCAAGCACATTTTTGTATATGGTTTACTAATGAAAACTGGTGGAGAGACAGTTTTATTCGTGCCTACTTTGACTTATATAGTTCTACTAAATGGGCAGGGACATTTATAAGTATTGTTATAGCCTCATTTCAAATTAGCTTTCCTAATGATAAAAGTCTGTTGTCTAAGCTGTGTCGTTACAGTTTTAGATATTTAAAATTCAAGTGATGAAGGAGGATAAAAATGAAAGCCACTGTGAAGCTTACCTGCAAAATAACTTTGCTTTCAGAAACTTGCTTCTGGAAGAGGCAAGATGACTCATGACAAGCAATTTATGATTTGAAATTTGTGAAATATTAAACATCAGAACTCCATGAATTTTGAATCACTAGGAGTTGAATGAACTAAAACATCATCATGCATCTAATTTAAAAAATCATTAAACTTCTTTGTTTATGTTTCTTTCATTGTATTCTCCTCCCAGAGGCCTTTGGTGACTAGCTATGCTGTGATAAGAGCAACGTTATGTGACAGAAATCTCTTCTAGATTTAATTCGTGCGCTACCATTCCTTGGCCCTGCATTGAAGGGGATGTTATTAGAGCTATAAAATTCTTCTCTTTTTATTTGAAATGCATGTGCACTGTTATGGGAGGAGAACGAGGGCAGAGCCAAACATGTAGGAGGATTCTGTATTCTTCATTAAAAATATATTTCACAGAAGATTATAGTTTGTGTGGGAGGGAAATAGCTGCTTGTCTGTTGAGTGCATTGTGCTTATTCCATATAAGAACTATTTGAGTTTAGACAGGACAGTCTAGTTTTGATCATCTGATGGCTGCTTCTGTTTGAAGAGGGGAATATAATTTCAAGGCTGCATGCTGATAGACAACAGTAATTGTTCCTTTTTTGGCAAAGTTTTGCATGGAATCTGCTTTGGTATTTTTATGACTACCTATGCAAATCTTTTTTTTTTTTTTCTGAAACTTTTTCTTTTTCCCTGTGCAGGAGCTTTTTATAATGTTAAGACTGTGAACTTCCAAAGGTATGGATGTCAATGTATGGTGCTTGTAAGTCCAAGTTAGAACAAAACCCTTGAGATGAGATCTTAGGCTATATGGAGAGGAGATTCCACACTGTGAGAAGATTCCTCTGTGTAACTTGGTTTCTATGGAGACGTTTTTATTACTTATGTAAAATCCAAATGTCTGGGTGTGATATGAGGGAATAGTGTATCAGCTTTGGCCAGTGCAGCTGGTGGAGTTTCCTGGTTAATATGTGATCCTTTGATAAGGTTCTGTTACGTTGCGGATGTTTGGGAGAATGATGCAAGTAACTATAAAGCAGTCTAAACAATGTGACACTTAATTTTACCATTTGCTAAGAACATCACTCTAATATTACATAATAAGGAAAAAAGAGCAACCCCTCAAAATTATATTTAGTTAGAATAAACCTGACAGTGTGAGACAAGTTTGACCCATTTCATTCTCAGAAATGAGTGGTTCTTCTCTCTGCCTATATAGATGGTGAAATTAACAGTATTGGATGACTTCCTAGTTTTGTGAATTATCATGTTTACGATCTTCGGTGTTTATGATAGATGACCTACAGAAGAAGAATGTGAGTCTGAATAAGCAAATGGGTTTTATGTTCAAAGTCGTCAATTGTAATGTCAGTGGCCAGAGGCAAGCTCTGATGCTGAGGGCTTATCTGCTGGGACTTTGGAGGTGAGAGGTTCTGATCTTGCAGGGATAGCACCAGGAGAGAGCTTTGTGTCTCTGGACAGTGTCCTCCCTGCAGCCCTGATAAGGGTAACAAATCCTGGTAATTAGTTAGGGCAGTGTTTTCAGCTTTGGCTGTGTTGTCTTAATCTCCCAGTGACGGGTTGGCAGTGGTCCTATGTGACTGATGTGTGGATCCACCATGAGGTACTCAGGTTTCTACAAGAAGATGTCATCCTCTGAGCCAGCAGGGTTAGAAGCTCATGCTGAATCGTGGCTTTAAGGAAGGCCTACCACAGAGCCAGATATTAGGAGCTCTCCCAGAGACACGCATCATGTGGTAGACATGGTACATGCAGACATATGTACTCTGGGGACCATTTCATACTACTCTGCTCCCTTGGAAGAAGATATGTTTCCTATAAGAGATGGAACTCTGTAGGCCTGACTATCCTGAGAGCTGAACTCAGGACTTTATGTTTTTGAATATAGAATTTGTGACTCCAGTTCAGTAGTTATCATCAAAGATGTTCTCCTAACTTCACTCAAATTTAGTGACACCGTCAGATTATCATAAAGTTAGAAAGTGCATTGAATATCCTGTAATCACACGTGTGGAGGAATTCTTGTGTCTAAAGACAGGTTATTGCTATTCTTTGCACTCAATCGTCTCAAAATTTACTTGGTACAGAATTCCTTTGGTGCAGTGGTTCTTGGGACATATGCTTCCCATATCACAATGCCTTTTTGGAATCTAGACTGTGCTTTGAATTTCTGCTTTCTTCTAATGCACACTTCAGAAAGCAGCAGTGATGGTTAAACTACTTGCTTCCCTGCATCCACTTGAATGACCTGCTTCCTTCTGTTATTGAGGATGGATTTATATGAGTGAAGCATAAGGCCACTTGGCGTAGTCCATTGAAGAATCTGTCTTTCTTCTGAGGGAATAAGTTAAAGAGATTTCAGAAATATACTTCTATAGAATCAGAGATGAGCAAGAACTTATGCATTGTAACTATACAGCATGAGATAAAATCTTCTGTCCAAAAGAAGCATGAGTTTAGGATGGGGAGAAAATACTGTGTGTCTCATCTTTGATCTAAACAAAATAGGTGAGATGTCAGGGATGACTTAGATATAAGCCTCGGTGGTCCCTTTTATGGGAGTCCCAAGCATTGGAACTGAAAGACCAAAACTGTTACGAAGGACACAGATTTCACTATAAGAGGGAACTTCAAAGAATGTATGGAAATGGAATTGAAGGATAAGTTTGGGTGAAAAATATTTTTGAAGTTTCTGCTTAATTTCTTTCCTAACACATTTTCTGTAAACTTTTTGAACATCCCTTATGCATGAGCTTCTAAATCTTCGTAACAAAAATAAGCTTAGCTCCAGTTTTCACAGTCTTTTTGAAGTGCCCTCTGTAGATACTCTTCAGATTAGGGTATGAAGAACCTGCAGGTGGGATTGTAATCCTGAGTTGGGGTAGAAAGTGATGGGTGGAAGGAACCAAGGCAGATTGAACTTGGCCTGGAACTTGGATAAGTATTGTCAAAGTCAGCAGACAATGTGGGCAGGCTTGAGTAGAGGCTAGTTTTCCTGATCTGTAATGAAGCGCCTAAGTAAAGTTTCTTTTTTTTTTTTTTTACATGGTAAACTGTCTCAGAGGAAGGGATCCAACACCTTTAAAGGTGTAAACCTCCCAGGCCTCAGAGAACCTGAGTTTTAAAGAGAAGTAATGATCTCTGAGAAGAGAGGTTTCTTTGTCATCAATGTAGGACACGTTGGTGACTTAGTCTGGTGGCAAAATCTGGTTCCTGTCAGTTCCGCTTGAGACTCAGCTGTTCGTTCCCACTGGGAGAGTCTGATTCCTCTCTGACCTTTGTTTCTTCTCACTGGACTCATGTTTTTGGTGCAACTGCAGCTCTTGGGATGGGGTGCAAGTTGTTGTAGTTTTGGTTCTGGTCAGGAAAATTGTCTGAAATATCTTCACTTTGTTCACTCTTCGTTGGTAGAAACTGGTCTCCACTAGAGGGAGAGCAAAAAAGGGGACATGAGAGCTGAATTTCCAGTTCTGGGAAGTATACTGGCTTTGGGGACAAGAATAGAATCTAATAAAAGAGACGAAGAAACAGTAAGTGGAGCCAGGAAAAATACAGTAATAGGAGAGATGGATTATAGTTTTAAAAGTTACCAGTTTCATTTACACTTATATTGCAGGCATTCTGCCTGCCAGATTCTGTGTGTGATTCTCTGGATGCAATAGGTGCACCAGATGTGGTCCTTTCCTCCAAGAGTTCCTTGGAAGTGAGATTGTAGCCCAGTGGACACTGTGACATTTGGTGTTCTTCCATCTTAGCCCAAGGAAACAAGGAGGGCAGCCAGTGTGTGGACATAATGGTGAGCCCCATTGGGAGAAAGACATGAAAGGGTCAGATGAAGGAAATATGTGACGTTGGATGCCATGCATGCTGAGACAACTGAAGTCAGATGGCTTGGGATGGGTGAGGTTAAGAAATCAGAGGTTGGTATGAGAGCAAGGAGCCACTTCAACAGTTGTGAGTAGAGAAAATATGGATTGAAAGAATTTTGGCTTTAGCAAGTAGAGATCTGAGTGCACCAGAGCACAAATAGGGAAAGAAGAAAGTCCACCATGGCAATGGGGTGAAATTTAGCATGTGAGTCAAGGACACAAGAGGTTGAATGATGGAGTTTACTCTAATAGCCACTCATGGAATCCAGGACATTGAATTGTTCCTTACATTCTTCCTCAAGAATATCCATGTTGTATATTTCAGCAGCCCCTACCACAGAAAGAATCTATATCATCACCCCCACCCTACCGCCTCTCAGATGATGTTTCTAACTCAAATAATTTTGCCTGTGATCAATTCCTCCTCCCATTGAAAGACCCGCCTTCTTAGTATACTGTTACTTTTTTTTTCACAAGGTTCACGCGCAAATTTGAAGCCTTCACTAACTACTAATTAGCAACAGTCCAAAGTATATGCTCCTATAAACTATTAACAAAAATAAAAATAAAATAAAAATTTAAAATTCTGTGTTTTCACAGAGTTAGTAATTTACTGACTTTCAAAAACATCATTTCATTGAATTCTTAAAGAACCCATATGGTGGATGGGAGAGATACTGCTGTCCTTGTAAGTTTTCAGATGACATAAAAGAAACTTCAAGTAAGTGATATGCTCAGGACCACATGGTTCATGATTAGCAGAGCCAGGACTGTATTTTGGACCTTCAAGTGTTCAAGTGCAAGGTGCAGTGTACCACATGATGGCTGCCTCCCCTTGCCTGTGGCATCATCTCTGTTTTCACACTACAGTTTCTGTGATCAGGGTGGTGAGGAGATGTGTCATCGGTCCCAGTAGGATTGCAGAGAGCTCTTAGTGTCTCCACAGTCTCTCTCTCTCTCTCTCTCTCTTTTTTTTTTTTTTTTTTTTGTTGTCACCGCTCAGAAGTTGTGATCCAGGGCTGTCAACTGAGATTGAGTCCCTGGCTGATTTTCGCTTAGATTGGGAAAAGCCTGTCTCCTGCCAGGACATCTGGAGAGGCACAGAAAACACTCTGTCCTTCCCTGATGTCATCCTCAGTGCCTGGCTGCCTCATATGGAATTTGGACAGGGCTGTCACTGACTCCGCCTTGGTTTACGGATGCCCTTTTTTTTGACACTGCCAGGCTCTCTTTTCTTCAGCTGCTCTCTCCAGGAAGGTGTGCCTCAGAAACAGGCTGTGAATTGCTATCAAAGGGGTTTACCATCTGAATACTTCTTTCAAGATTTACTCTGAGTTGTTCCATTTAGACAGAAACCATTTTGGACGATACTGTATACAGAAGGGTGTAGAACTGTGCTTTGAAATTCATTAAAATTAGCAACATTTGTTAGCAATGCAGTGATTAATGAGTGTATTAACAAGAATTTAGAGTACACTGTGTTTCTATCATTTTCTTATTTGCCAGTGTTATTTGGATTTGATGGAGTGTTGGTAGGAAATTTACTGTGTTAAAAATTTAAATAAGATAAAAAATAGGCCTGACAATTGCCTACAATATCAGGAATTGCCTCCTCTTCTATGGAAACTTGTAAAGGAAATAGGTACATGAACTTCAGTTTAATAATATATTGCCTTTCAGTGCTGTTTTAAAACACACACACACATACACACACACACATTCCAACATCTGTTTCAAAATTATGGCTGCACATCTTCTCAGCTGGGATTTCACGAAGACGGGGTGCATCTTTCTAAATACCTAAAGGGAAGGAAGAGTAGTTGGAATAGTTTCTATAAGCTCATGATA